TTCTTACAACATAACACTTGTAAAACCCTTTTATATAACTCAAAATATTGACCAACGGAAGATTAATCACTTCAAGATGGAAAGATCACCAAAATAAATTTTAACTTTATCAATAATTTTTTTTTTCATATACACAGACAAATTTCACTTTTCTTTTATTTTTATTTTTTTTTGGTAAACACTTTTCTTTTATCTTAATTTTGTAAAACCGTTTACTTCTAAATTTAATTTTTTGACTTCAAAGAGTTTTATTTTATTTTATGTACTATATATTTAAAGTGTTTAAAGTAATTTTTCCAAGAAAAAAAGGTTTAAAGTAATTGTTATATTATTATATTTATATCTCTTTAATTATGTGCCGGTTTGTTTTACTTAGAGATTTAAGTTGATTAAGATTACAAATAAATTAAGTTGTTTTACTTAAATAAAATATTAGTATAATTTGAATTAAAAGAACTTATGTTCATGATGAAGACAAATACAAAAATTTCATCTAATCATATAAATTTTTAACATGAGAAACTTACTATTTTAAATAATTTTAACCGTTAAATTGACGAAAATCAACGGTTAAGATTTTGTAATAAGAAGTAGTAAGAAAAAAAAGTAGTAAGTATAATTTTTCCATATATATAATGAAAACTTTTATTATTGCTATTATTATTATTATTGGCTGCTATATTCTCATGTAAATATGTTATGAGGCTACGTAGATGTTTGGATTAGAGTTTATAAACTTGATCTTAGATGAAATTTTATGAGAATTGATTTTGGTTAAAAGTGAGTTTGAGTGGTTTAATTTATTTTTGAGATATTTATTTGAAAAATAATTTTGACATAATGCATGTTATTTGGATTGTAATGTTAGATACAAATCACTTTTAAATGTATAATTATTAAAAGGATATGACTTTATCTTTTGGGTTAGAATAAAAAACTAATGTTTTTACCAAAAAAAAAAAAAATGTTAAAAATATAATTGTAAATACCAATGGTATTAAACTCGATCCGGTTATTGACCCGGTCAAAGTACCAAGTCATTAGTTCAACCGCATTACTCGGTAAGTATATGTAAATCTATAATTTATATTAAAAAATTATAAATATAATTAAATATCTACAAAAAAATACCAATTTCAAATATTGTAATACGAAAAACAATAAATTACATATCATTGTCCAACAAAAGATCAATCAAACATATAATACTTATGATACTGGTGCTCAGGTTCAGTAGTCGACATCTCCAACTATAAATCAAATCAAACTTACCTGCATATTGTATAATCAAGATAATATTAATGTTGTAGGTACATAACCTATATAAGTTAATAAGCAATAGATCACTCAAATATTTAAAAAAAAAATAAAACATTTGTGTGTGAGATTGAAAAAAAGAAATCATCAATTCATGAGAATAAACTAAATTTTTTTTATGAATCAGGTCGGGTCACCGATTTTTACAAAAATCGGCCTAGTAACACTGGTTCCATTATACGACCGATCCAATATAAAAATTGGACTAATTATATGATCGATTTATCGATTTTCGGATCGACCCAACCAAGTCGATCCAATCTTTATAACATTGGTAAATACACGTACTAACCTTCTTCTTTTAACTTGATTTACTAATGTTTGGTTTTACGTTTAAGGAGTTAGAATCAAGTTTGGGTTCAAACTTTATTTGTTACGTAAAGAATTAATTTAACCCAAAAATTTAAATTGTTGGGCGAGATTTTTAATGATTTATATATTATTCTCTAACACGACTCCTCACACGAGAGCCCACTATACTTGAAGAGTGGATAATGCACATGCTTATTACCTGTATTAAAAAATTCATAACACTTAATTAATTATTAATTGAATGTGGGGGGGCGGTGAAGATCGAACCTGTGACACCGAGACTCTGATACCATATAAAGAAGCAATTCAACCCAAAAACTTAAACGGTTGGATAATGGCTTTTCAATGGTTTATATTATTATCTAATATGCTCCAAATATTGCCAAACATATTATATATCTTTACATTTGAGGCAAAAATATGGATTTTCTTTTTGTTAATATCTATCGGTTCATCAATTACCATATTAGTTCAAGTTGAGCTAGATAAGACCATATGGGTAACAAATCTATCAAATCTTAACATAGTTACATTCCAAAAAAAATAAAAAAAAATACGACATTTCGAATGGTTGAATGCCAAACAAAACATATATTAGATATTAGCTATAATACCTAATATCTAATAACATAGAATACCTCGTTATATATTTTCACGAATATAAATTCTCGTTATATACAATTTGTAAGAAGGAAAAATTAACGTAAGACTAGTCTCTTGTTTACGTGTTAATGTATAGTAATAACTAAAAAAGAAAGCAGGCTGTTAGGTGCCTTGGTGGTTTCCGATTCAATTTAATGAAAAATAAGATTCCGACGTTGAAATTACATTTCTTTTAAAACAAATCATGAACTCATCGTCTTTATCCAACATATATATGTAAAGATATCAACAAAAACTATACATCTATGTTCACTGAACGTAGAAAATCAATATTATTTTTAATTGTTAAGCCTGACGGCTCTAAGGCATGTATTTTCTTGCAATCGCAAATACATTGTTTTTGCTCGTGAGCAGAACTGAAATTATAAACAAAAGCCATATAATAACGAAAACATTCGTTTCCCTCGCGTAACGCATGTATATTCATGGAAGTGCAAGATTTTCCATGTTTATTATATTGTTTATCTGCAAAAGGCAGTAATCCACTAATGTCGCTATAATTTCATACGCTAATTAATACGATATATGTTGATGCGCAGTATGTACTCTTAACGATATTCATAGTTTTTTTCTTTGTTTCTTTTTAGAAAAAAATTACTTGTCTTGGAAGAGAAAAAATGAAAGGACTTAATCCGTAATAATAATAATAATAATAATAATAATAATAATCGGTAGACATTGTGTTCACCTATGGTGTTCACCTATGTTATACCGACATCGACACGAGATATGACACAATACGATACTCTGACACATTAATTCTAAACAATGTTAGATTTTGACACGTTAGGACATGTTTTAATATTAAATAACATTTTTAATTTATGTAGTGTAGATTATATTTAATATTCAATAATTTAATACAAAGTTGAAGCTAAACTTATAATCCCAATCAATTTTACAAAAAAACAAATTATTATAAATATTTATATTAAACTCAATAAAATGATAATCGTAATCCAATGAATCTAATAGTTGGCACTAAAAATATAACACAACGTAACTTTTGAATCTTTTTTTGAGTCTCTGTAATACGTGTTAGAGTATCAAAGAGTGTCAGAGAATCGAAGAATATCGAAAAGTGCCAGACACGACACGTCAGAGTTTTTGAAATTTCAATGCTTGATAGATGTTCACATCTCGTGCAATTACAAATTTTAGCTTAATGAAATAAATTTTGCTTTTGCAAAGTGCATTATTAATTAACTTTAAAAAAATGAAAATAGTTCCTCTTCTGGGGTATATTAATGGAATAAAGAGAAGATAAAATTAAAAATTCTTTCTCTAGTGTTCGAGCCTTTAGAGCTCAGAACTTAAAAAAATCATAATAATCCACATCGTGTCAATTAATTAATAACGTGGACTGATATAGATTGATAATAGATGTTAAGATAAAGATAGAAAGCAAAGCAAATTAAAGCACGATGTTATTGACAAGTCAAGAAAAAACATAGTAAAAGTGATTCCTTGAAAAATGAATGCAATTTGACACGGGAAATGTTGTTATAATATGTTTCGATGGGCAAGTTATATTTACAAATTTTTTTTTTATAAATTCTTACAAATTATACTAAATATGACCAGTTATATTTTAATTATGCAGTGTACGACCGGTCGTACTTAGTGTAATTTACAAAAAAAAATAAAAAAATTTGTAAACGGATCCTATCCCTGTTTCGATATATTCATTTACCAATTTCCCCTCATACGTGTCATTTATTCACCCGATTTTATGTTAAAAGTTAATCTTCTATGATGTTAACGCAACACACTTTCGTTGTAGGCTCCAAACTGTAATATATATATTTTCTCTTTCTTTCTTTTTAACGAAAGAGATTCAAGGCTAATGTCCTTCACAGTAGGGTCCCAGTGGTCAAAATCTTGGGCATTAAAGCTCGTTATTATCTTGCTAAAAAAAGCCACACGTACGAAAGTCTAAAGGTTAGAATATATTTTTATTCTGTTTCATTTTATATTTTACTCTAACAAGGAGAAAAAAACTTTTAGCTTAATTTTTAATTTAATAATTTTTTCGGCCAATATATCATACCCAGAATACGGTCAACTTAGTATCGTAAGATTCGTAAGTGCCAATGGTTAGTAATTTAGTAAGATTGTATCTAATTTCCTTTGATCTTGACTAGATTCTCTCCATAATCCTAGAAATATTAGAATCTAACAAATTATCTTTTATTATTCAATTAAATTTATAATATAGTCAAGTTTGAAAATTAAAATTTAAATATTTATTATTCCTTTATTTAACATTTAATTTTAATGTTTTACAATAGTTTATTAATTTTAGTGTGAGACTACTATTAATACATATAGAAAATAACTTAAAATCTTTCTTTATCTAAAAGATAAATTAAAAAATAAGAAATAGGATATTCTTACTATTCATTTTTTTTTATTACTAACTTATTACTACTCTAATTACTATTAGATCCTATTTTTTAATCGACAATCACTATAAAATTTCTGAAACATATTAGTTATATTAGAGTGATAATAAATTAATAGTAGAAAAACTTAATTGTAAAAATATCCATACTCAAAAAATAAGGTTAGGTAGGGTAATTTTTTTTTTCTTAACTAAATAAAAGTTGTGGTTGCACAGTTGCACTCTAAAATTTGTGTCCTTTCCTTTTCCATTTTGGTGTGCGCGAGCTTCAAAACCAAACTGTCCAAAACCAAACAAACCCAAAAACATCATAAACCAAACCAAACTCTGTTCCAAGTTCCAACCTCTATATGAGCTTAGTTCTCAGTCTACAACGAACTGCAATCACCGACAACAAAAGGACAACAAACTCCGATTGTGACACACTACTAACAACATCAAAATGCTGCAAATGGGCACCGCCGGAGAAGCCACCGACGGAAGCTCCGGTGGCCGGACGGTGGTAGTGGGGGTGAAGATGGACTCTCACAGCAGAGAGTTGCTCACTTGGGCTATGGTCAAAGTTGCTCAGCCTGGTGATGTTGTGGTTGCTCTTCATGTTCTTGGTAATGATGGTAAGCCATGACATGGTGATCTTTCTGGTTTGCTTTTTTGGATTTTCAATTTTTTTTTATTCCCTTTATTGGATTGAAGTTGAGTTTGACTATTTTTTTTTTCTTGTCGTAGAAATTGTGAACCGGGATGGAAAATCGTCTCTGTTTTCGGTCGTCAAAGCGTTTGACTCTGTTCTTGCTGTTTATGAAGGATTCTGCAATTTAAAACAGGTTGAGATTCTCAACATCTCTCTTACTCTTGCTGAATCTTAATATTTAATATGTAGGACGTGCATATTGAAAACTGCTGCTATACAATTTACAAATTATGTTTCAGCCTAATTTTTGAGGAAATTTAATGCTTATAATATATAAAATGTGAGATTTTTGGTGAAAATGATTCAGGTTGATCTGAAGCTCAAAATTTGCCGGGGTTCATCGGTGAGGACAATTCTGGTTCGAGAAGCAAATGCTTATTCTGCAACTCATGTTATAGTTGGAACACCTCGAGGTCTTCATAAAATCCGGCCATCTACTTCTGTAGCTAAGTACTGTGCTAAGAAGTTATCCAAGGATTGTTGGGTTCTTGCTGTTAATAATGGGAAAGTTGTGTTCAAGAGAGATGGCTCACCAGCAAATCGTGCTGACTTAAAAGGTTTCAACTTTTTTTTTTTTCTTGTTCTGTATTGAGATGTCAATCTCATTGACATAGTAGAGTTCACTGTCAATGAGTTTGTTGCAGGATTTGATCTGGATCAAAGAAATGGGTTGCTCGGTTCGATTCACTGGACACTCAGCAAGAGTTCAAAAGTACTAAATGATGAGGGTAGTGGTCAAATTTCAGATCACAGCTTAGCTAAGGTTTTTATGGATTCTGCAGAAGTCAATGGAAAAAAGAGTTGCTTTATTTGTGCTTCAACCCCAGCATTGCCAGAATCATCTTGTAACTCATCTACAGAAGAGTCTTCTGGTGATGTTAGTAATGAGAATAACTCTGTGGCTATAGTACCTGTACCTGAGTTGAAACCAGGTTGGCCTCTACTACACAAGACAATTTTATCAGAGAGGCAATCTACTGAAAGATCATTGTTGCGCCAGATCTCTGTGGTTCAGTGGGCAATGCGGTTGCCCTCTAGAAATATTTCATATGCTGCAAATCATGACCTCAAAGAAAGCAATTGTGACCGAGATAAAGATCAATTTTTGGCTCTAGATAGCAAAAGTGGCGCTCTTGTTCCAGTGGATGCTGAAATAGGGACTGCTTCTTCGCCTGAACGTAATTCAAGAAGCATTCCTAAAGAATTGGAGGGCCTTCATGAGAAATACTCATCGACTTGCAGATTGTTCAAGTACCAAGAACTTGTATCAGCAACATCAAATTTCTTGCCTGGTGTGTATTTTCTCTAGTACTTGTTTGACTCTTTGAGTTCAATTTGTCCAAAAGTGGTTTATTTTTAACATGGTTTGTTATGTGATTTCAGAAAATTTGATTGGGAAAGGAGGAAGTAGTCGGGTTTATAGAGGATGCCTTCCTGATGGCAAGGAACTTGCTGTTAAGATCTTAAAGCCTTCTGATGATGTTTTGAAGGAGTTTGTTCTAGAAATAGAAATTATCACTACCTTGCATCACAAAAACATTATTTCCCTCGTTGGGTTTTGTTTTGAAGATGGCAATCTTCTTTTGGTCTATGATTTGTTATCAAGAGGAAGCCTTGAAGAGAACCTTCATGGTACACAACATATACATCATTACTATATCGCCTTTTTTATTCTATGTGGCCTTGTTAACTTACTATTTACTTCTTTTTGTTTCATGCCAAAATAGGTAATAAGAAAAATCCACTTGTGTTTGGTTGGAATGAGAGATATAAGGTAGCAATGGGTGTTGCTGAGGCTTTGGAGTATCTGCACGACAGTGATGGCCAACCTGTGATCCATCGGGATGTAAAATCATCAAATATATTATTATCTGAGGATTTTGAACCACAGGTAATTTATCTTTCTGTTGGTTGACTTTCATATTTTGAATCATTTATACTAGTCAGGTCTCATACTGTTTTGTTGATTTTCTACAGCTCTCTGACTTTGGACTTGCTACATGGGCCTCAACCTCATCACCATATATAGTCTGCACAGATGTTGCTGGAACCTTCGGGTTTGTACTTTCAACTCCCACATAACTGGACCATCCATTCTTATGCATAGATGCTGCAAGAGAACTTGTATTTGAAATGGTTCTAAATTATGTATAATTGTTTAAACTCATTTATGCAGTTACTTGGCTCCTGAATACTTCATGTATGGTAAAGTAAATGATAAGATTGATGTCTATGCATTTGGTGTCGTACTTCTTGAGCTTCTTTCAGGGAGAAAGCCCATAAGTAGTGATTACCCCAAAGGTCAAGAAAGCCTTGTGATGTGGGTATGTCTCTGTAATCATATAGTCCGGCATCTACTCAGTTACTTTTTATTTCTTAATCATATGCATTGGAGGAAAAATAATGCAAAAAATATCTTTTCCAGGCAAGTCCAATTCTTAATAGTGGGAAGGTGTCACAGTTGTTAGATCCTAGTTTGGGTGATAACTATGATCATGAAGAGATGGAAAGGATGGTCTTAGCAGCCACACTTTGTATCAGACGTGCTCCAAAAGCTAGACCTCATATGAGCCGCGTAAGTGGTCTATAATTAATTGGCTTCATGTAGTACCTGAATTCAAATAGCATCCTCCATGACTTTATCTTCTTAATTGAACACTGTCTAAGTAGATGTTCCGGGTTTAGCCAACTTGGGACTCGGATCATCTATGATCTGGACACCCGTTATCTAACTTGGGCTCGTTTCCCGACTTAGGACTCTGCCCTTGAGCCCATATCGTGGGTTTGATCCCATGATCTCACTCTTCTCCACAACTGCCATGATCACCACTAAAGGAACTGCTCCATATCTATGATCCTCCTCCTTAACCGCTCATGAGAGCAACTATATATACATTGATAGTACCAAAGGAAAGGGACTTCAGATCTATTACTTTCACCCATTCATACAGAGCAGATACACTCGCTTTGGCTTATCTACAATCTTCATCAGACCATATCCATCATTAACAATTTATAATATCTCAAATATTTAACCTACTGTTGATGTTCACTTCTGAACAGTAGTCTCATTTCATTATTGTATTGTTGGTCTCATAATTATTCAATTGGACCACAGATCTCAAAGCTCCTTGAAGGTGATGCTGATGTAATCAAGTGGGCAAGGCTAGAAGTTAATGCATTGGAAGCACCAGAAATGCTAGATGATGAAGCTTGCCCACCTTCTAATCTACAGTCACATCTTAATCTTGCACTGCTTGATGTGGAGGATGACTCGCTCTCCATGTGCAGTGTTGAGCAGAATGTCTCCTTGGAAGACTACTTGAGAGGCAGGTGGAGCCGCTCATCAAGCTTTGATTGAGCAAACCACTAGCGAATTGCCAAAAGCTTTTTTATCTAAATCCTTGTAGATAATGTTTTCTTGTGTTGCCTGTTCCATTATCTTTGGCATCCTTTATAGATAGGTTTAGGATGTGAGGTTGTTTGTGTGTGCCCTCCTCCTTCCCTTAATAGTCAGTCAGGAAAGTACGCCTTGTAATTTGTTGTGCTGAGTTAACCTTTGTCGTTCACTTCAAATGGTGCCAGGTTTAATCCTTGATCTCGATTTGATCAAGTTGTAACCTGTTGCAGTGGCAAAAAGTTGTTGCTAAGAACATAAACTACATAAGGATTATGCATTTTAATAAGGCTAAGGGCAATTTCTTCAGAGATGATTCGCTTTGATTATGATCTAAGAAGTAAAGTTTTTTGCTTTTAACAGTTGTATATGTGTCAAAAATAAAAATTCAGAAAAAATGTGAAAAACATTCTTGAAATGCATTGAAACTCACTGCCATCATCCAGATATATTACAAATGCAAGCATGCACTCTTTTACAATACCACCCATGACTAGAGAAAATTATGTGACAGATTATATCATATAGTTTAGGGCTTTATTTGTTTTTTGTTGCTGCAAAATTTTTATCTATTGTGGGGTCTATCAATTTAAAAAAAAAAAAGAAAAGAAAAGAAAAGAAAACGAGACACAAATATCAATGGGTCAGCTGCAAAATAAAAATTTATATAATAACATAAAACAAATAAAACCCTATAATTTATATGTCTCATTTACTCAATTTATTTTCAAGAAATTTGCTCTTAGTTAAAAAAGTAGTTATTCTCTTATGTATTTTAAATCTATTTATATGATTACTCTCACATTTCATCACAATTCTATTATATATTATAAAGAATAGTTATATTGCTTACCTATTTAATTTTTTTATTTTTATTATCTTTTTATTACTATTAGATTAAATTTAAATGAACGGTCTCAAATAGTTTTTATTTTGTTTTGTTTCTCTCTTCCTTACTTTCCTCAACTAATTACATATTTTTTTTATTTCAACTGTTAATTTAAATATAGTCTAACGACGGAAAAAAAAATAAAAAATAAAAAAGTAAACAATATAATCATAATTATTGTCAGATTTTTTTTGGGGTAACATAATTATTGTCAGATTTCATCATAATTCGATTATACATCTTGAGTTAGGTTTAATATAAGACTAGTGAATTATCCCTACGATGCACGGGAAAAAGATCAAAAATTTTGTCGGCAACTGTCGTTGGTTAATCTCTAAAAGAAATAAACGTGTCCCTATTTTGTGCCATTTTGGGAGTTGAAAAAGCTACAACATTCACATATAATTTTGTAAGTATCAACCACAAACAAAATTCTTCAATTAGGAAATATCAATTATTATGCAAATCAAATATAGTTATGTACTCAATAATAGAGTATCTTCATATACAACAATCGCATACAGCAGCAACAGTGATGAGATGACATCCTCCCAAAGAGAAATAATAAAAAAATGAGACAAAGTTCTTACGCTCAATACTATCCAGAACAATTATCAGCAGTTGATGTGCTCAATCAATATTAAGATATCCAACACCCTACAAAGGCATTATTAGGATGTTCCCAAATATGCAACATAAAATATCAAATTGCAAACTAATAAAAGTCCAAATTACATATATGTGTCAAAAAATAAGGGTTAAAACATTATATAATAAATATTAATTAAGTTGGAAGAAGCAAATCATTTAAGTTGAAAAAAAAAACAAAGGTGAATAAAGTAAAAAATAAACCTTCTCCTCTACATTAGTCTTCAATACTTCTCATTGATTCAACAATACTACAAAATAAAATCAATTAAAACACATGAAGAAGAAAATTAATTTTTCTGCTTAACAGAAGGCAATAATCAGACTAAATAAATACAAAAATGAGAAAACATATCAACTCCTTGCTATAATAAAAAAAAATTGTATCAAAAAAATTTGTTTGAATTGAGTGTCAATCAGTAGCAATCATTGGAGAGATAAGTTAACCATATACCAAGCATCTGCTTTACAATGATTTTGCAAAACCAAATCAACTATATTAATATTTGAAATACTTCCTTGTAGACAATGTTAAAATTTGTAACACTCCCATTATCATTATGTCCTTGACTCTTATTGATAGTCATTGCAAATGAAACGGCCAGAGAAAATTGTCTTCTTTGGAAATTTACATAAAATGCATGGCTTAATAAGCTCATCGTCATTCTAGGGATTAAGACAGTTTGTCCTATATTGCTTCATGTAAGAATAGTTGCCTCAACAACTTGGTTGCCCAAATATCAGTATTGGTTTAGATTTCGCTGCATGGTGGCTTTAATAATATAATTATAATTGTTCGTATTCACCAATCAACCCTTGCAAAAATCTCGAACAAAATATCGTTAGGCAGATCTTTAAGCAACTCACCTCCCTCATTAAGACACCTCCTTGCACGCTTTGTAGAAGTTGATTCAACCATTGATATAAGCTTGAAATATAAGAGTATGCTAACAAAAAATGATGCACCCAACTTTAAAAATAATAAAACGATGTTCAATTATTATATGAGATAATGACTTCTCAATTTATATAATAGATGTTTGTCATTAAGTTCACGCGGTACTTCACCATCCTATCACTATATAGTCTTTAAATTTTATCTCGGTAATTTGGATACAGAAGTTCAACAATTAATGTTATTAAAACATACACTTGGTAGTAAAAGATCGGTAAATGAAAAAAGCCCCTTTACGATGCAAAAATTGGATCCTTACTGGTTTCCATGCTTTCAAGGACTCATTTGATTGAAGGAGTGAAATTTATGTGCTCTAGATTTTGAATCCACAGCAATTCATGCAGACATAAGAATGTTAAATTTCCCACAATTACATCCCCATGCATTGCCACGATTGTCTTTTGTTTTTTGTATTGGGAGCCATAAACTCCCCCTAATAATGATAAAACGATTAAGATCACAAACGTGACACATAATCTCAATCAATAGAATTACTTACTTCCCAACTCACATAATCGTAATTCTAACTGCAACGTATAAACATAAACTATCAATAAGCTTGTTGATATCATAAAATAAGAAATCTGTTCATCAATAGGACTTTAGATATATGAATTTGATATTGTTAATCAGGACTATTACAATGCGATTATCAAATCATTATTTTTTGCTGGATACATCAAATACAAACAATCAAACACAACACAATCATGAAACATTGTTGAACCAAATGTCAAAAAATTGATGAAATGCATTGGTGGAAATATCTTCATCAGTTATATATTCCCTTTTACCAGCAATGCGCATCCACCTCCAACATCAAAACTTGCAAAAAATATGATAATTCTTACGTGTCAGTATATAATCTTTTAATCATATTTCTATACTTGTTCAAAAAGTACAAAAGATGTGCCCAAATAATATCTAAATAATAAAAAGGTGTGAAGTACTTTACTCTTTTTCCAGTTTAATTTCTTTTGTAGCTCGGACAACCGAACACATAAAACCATCTTCAACAGCGTCATTGGAATTAACCGAAGGTGTCAACAAACAAAGAAAATCAGCAACATCTGCACGGTCACAATTTTGACTCTCAACATCCTAGCAATAATATAGAAATGCACAAAATTAATTTACGTCTTACAAATAACGTATAAAATACTATCATGAAAAAATATAATTACAATTCTTACATACCGCAGCTCCTTCCCTAACAGCAAACCCAACATCATTGACGCAAGCACTGGTGAACGTTGCTTCAAGCTGTAAATAAATATTAATTTAAAAACACATACAAAAACTCTGCAATGGACTTAATAAAACATCAAATTTTTTCATTTTAAAAAAAGAAAAAACAACACACACTCGGGTCTACCACCGAATTAAGGAAAGATGTGATAATAGTTTTGTTGCTGCACACTTTAGAAATTTAATATTTTGGCTCATTGTATGAGTCCAAATTATTTTTCTTCACATTGACTTTACATAATATGGATGTATCTTTAAGAACATTAAGTTCTTCCAGATATTGCTTCAAATCAGCATCCTACAAAAAAATGTCATACAAAAATATCGTAAGGAATTTAATTCCAGCACGAAACCTCAATGTTGTTATACATAACCAATTTCACAAACCCTTTTGAAATGATGCTTGCATAAATAAGCATCACTCATTCCCAATAAAGCAACACAATCTCTATCGAACAACATGAAAGACGTTGAATCTATAAAGAATCCTTCACAATAGCATGAACCCTTCCACCTTAAAAAGAAAACCAAATCACATTACTTGTTCATAAACATCCAAAGTATTACCTGTTCATCCAATAGAACCATCTCTACATTATCATCAAAAAATGCAGCCAAGAAAAATATGAAACAACACTTCCTTATTTATACACGAACTAATTGCATTATTTTTGTATTCCCACTCATTGGTATTAAGGCATTTCTTGAACGCAACAAAATGAACAGGCATTGTTAGAAAATTATATTTCCTAATATGTTTGTGGGCTACATATTGTATTTATAATTATATTATTGTAATATCCCAAGTAAATAATAGTAATTTATAATAATAATAAATTAATAATAATAATAAATGATAAATTAGTATTAATAATAATAATGTGTATATATATATATGTTATTAGGAATAATGATAAATTGTGATTAATTGAATTATTAATTGATTGATCATTTATGCATTAATGTTTGATTGATAATGTGATTATATTAAGATGGGTTAATAATCTTTATTTGATTAGATATGATGAGTCATCGATATTCTGAGCCATAAGAAAATTAAGAAGAAAAAGAAAATAATTGTACAAAGTTCAGCCCATATCTGAACCCAAGACTTCATCTATAAATAGAGGCCTAGCCTAACCCTAGCCAACCCCTAGTATTTATCTTCTTCTCTAACTTTTTACTTCAAATTTTTATTTATTTTATTATTATTTTTCTTTGGTTACCAATCGCTTCTCTTCCCCAAATCGCTTTTCTTCTAGAAGGTAGCAAACACGGAGACCAGATAATCCTAATTCCTAGGTGGTCGTAGGTTTGTTGTGTATGAAATTTTATTGGATATGTCCTAATCCTCTAGAAATAATAGATTAATTTTTATATAAAATTTTGTCTAATGTAATCTTGATCTTTAGGAAATAATATATTAGTTTTATATAAATTTTGATTCACCTAATCCAAATCTTTAGGTAACAATAAATTAGCTTTAAAGAAACTTGTTATGATCCTGATCTGTAGGGAGTAATAAATTAGTTTTTTTATTTGAACTTTATTACATGTAATCATAGTCCCTATAAGTCTTAGGTTAATTTTATATGAATTTTGATAATATAATTATGATCCTAAATATATCATGGGGTTGTCTTATATGAAATGTATTATATGTAATCCTAATTCCTAGAGATAATTTTAAAGGGTGATTCCGATATTTAGGGAGTAACACACACACATCTCTGAGGATATTTGTCTATATGAAATTTGGAATTCCTATGTTCTTTTAGGTTATTTTTTATATATATGAAATTTGATATATATAGCCCTAATACTTTTGTATGAAATTTGGGATTAGGTATTTGTAGGTTGTCTTTTGTATGAATTTTTGTTTGTAATCCTAATACTTAGAGCGCTATAGTTTGGTTTTATATAAAAATTTATCCTAATCCTTAATCTTTAATTATCTGGGAACTTTATTGGGTTTTGACCCCTAGCAAATAATAGGGTTATTTATAAATGTATTTATATTATTTGAGAACTTATTTGGATTTTAACCCTAGAAAATAACAGGGTTATGTATAAACTATAATATTATTAGGGAACTTTGTTGGGTTTTACTTTTTATGAAAAAATTTATTGGGCGATAGGTAACAAAATATAATATAAATTTTACCTTTGATAAAATGATGAAAAATTGATTTTTTTGTGATATATGTGCGATATGAGCCCTATGGAATAATTGTGGAAATTGATTTTGATACCCACTAAATTATGATGATAGACATTTGGATTATGATAATGGATATGAGTTGAACTTTATTTTGAATATTTTAATACTCTTTAATAGTATGGAAAGTTATGATGACCTTGAGCAACTGATATATTGAAAGAAGAAATTTTCAAATATGATAATTGTGACATGATTGAATTTTGATGATTGTGCGTTATTGTAATTAATTAATTAGTGGAAGGATAACTTTGGGATGGTACCTCCTAACATGATGAACAAAACTCTTGAGCTTTATGCCTCCGATAATTATGTGATGTGAAAATACATTATCCGTTCTTCTAAAAGTGGTATCTGACAGAATATCCGGATACTAGTAACAACTTTTGAAAGATGTATGCACACTAGGAAGAGATGTTTTTGAAAATGGTCAAATTATTGATATCCTGCCAGTCACATGTCAATAATTTGACCATTATCAAAAACATCTCTTCCTAGTGTGCATACATCTTTCAAAAGTTGTTACTAGTATCTCGTATATTCCGTCAAATACCACTTTTAGAAGAACGGATAATGTCTTTTCACATCACATAATTATCGGAGGCATAAAGCTCAAAGGTTTTGTTCATCACGTTAGGAGGTACCATCCCAAAGCTATCTTTCCACTAATTAATTAATTACAATCACACACAATCATCAAAATTCAACCATGTCACAATTATCGTATTTAAAAATTTCTTCTTTCAATATATCGGTTGCTCAAGGTCATCATAACTTTCCATACTATTAAAGAGTATTAAAATATTCAAAATAAAGTTCAACTCATATCCATTATCATAATCCAAATGTCTATCATCATAATTTAGTGGGTATCAAAATCGATTTCCACAATTATTCCATAGGGCTCATATCGCATAAAAATTAATTTTTCATCATTTTATCAAAGGTAAAATTATATTATAATTTTTTATCTATCACCTAATATATTTTTTCATAGAAAGTAAAACCCAATAAAGTTCCCTAATTATACTCATATAATTAATCCTAATAATTTCTAGGGTTAAAACCCAATAAGTTCCCAAATAATATTATAATTTATAAATAACCCTATTATTTTCTAGGGTTAAAATCCAAATAAGTTTCCAAATAATATAAATAAATTTATAAATAATCATATTATTTTTTAGGGGTCAAAACCCAATAAAGTTCCTAGATAATATAATTTTTTTTACAGATAATTAAAGATTAGGGATTAGGATAAATTTTTATATAAAATAAAACTATAGTGCTCTAAGAATTAGGATAACAAACAAAGATTTATACAAAAGATAACCTACAAATACCTAATCCCAAATTTCATACAAAAGTATTAGGGTTACATAAACCAATTTCATATATATATATATATATATATATATATATATATATATAAACCTAAAAGAATATAGGAATTCCAAATTTCATATAGACAAATATCCTCAGAGAAATTAGGAATTAAGATTACTTATTTTCATATAAACATATATATATGTATTACTCCCTAAATATCAGAATCACCCTGTCAAATTATCTCTAGGAATTAGGATTACATATAATATGTTTCATACAAGACAACCCTATGATATATTTAGGATTATAATTACATTATCAAAATTCATATAAAATCAACCTAAGACTTCTAGGGACTACGATTACATTATTTGGATTAGGTCAATCAAAATTTAAATAAAACTAAAATATTATTCCCTAAAGGTCGAGATTACATTAGACAAAATTTTATATAAAAATTATCTATTATTTCTAGAGAAATAGGACATACCAAATAAAATTTCATACACAACAAACCTACAACCACCTAGGGATTAGGATTACCTGGTCTCTGTATTTGCTACATTCTAGAAGAAAAGCGATTTGGGGAAGAGAAGCGGTTGATAATCAAAGAAAAATAATAATAAAATAAATAAAAATTTGAAGCAAGGAGAGAGAGAGTAGAGGAGAAGAGAAGAGGAGAAGAAGAGAAATATAAGGGTTGGCTAGGGTTAGGCTAGACCTATATTTATAGCTAAAGTTTTTGGTTCATATATGGGCGGGACTTCATACAATTATTTTCTTTTTCTTCTTAATTTTTTTATGGCTTAGAATGTCGTTGTCTCATCATATCTAATCAAATAAATATTGTTAACTCATCACAATCCAATCACATTACCAATCAAACATTAATGCATCAATTATCAATCAATTAATAATTCAATTAATCACAATTTATCATTAGTCATAATATATATATATATACATTATTACTATTACTACTAATTTATCATTTATTATTAAAATTACTATTATTTTCATGAGATATTACAATTACGCTATTTAATATATATTGGCTAAATTAAAGTGATCAAATAAAGATGTCCAAATAGATTCTTAGTAAGCGTGGGATAAATGGGTGTATACCAGTGTTGAATGGGAGCTTACTAGCCCAACAATAAAGAAAACACTATGAAGAGTTGTGGTCCCCATTATATCAAATAGAAAAATAAGAGAGAGACAACACACTAAAGAATAAGGATTAAGACTATTTGACTGAGGAAGATCGCATATCCCATAAGGAGAAGATTCATACTAAAGAATAAGGATTAAGGCTATTCGACAAAGGAAGCTCGCATATCCTAAAGGAGAAGATCAAAGTTATTCCGCTGCTATGGAGTCAGGTATGCCTCCACTTTATGATAATATTTCTTTATAATTTGGTATGATGGATATTGGTTTGTTGGTGATGGTTATCACCATGAGATACCAACGCTTTCCAATGCAGAAAATAGTGAGATTTTACTCTATTCAAATTTTGAACTGCAATAAATATTGAACTATTTTCTCACAAATGAATTAATAACAATTCAAACAGTGGCGTAGCCACATTGTTGCTAGATGGGGCCTGGGCCCCTGCTGATTATTTTAAAAAATTATTATTATATATTCTAAAGTTAAAATTTGGCCCCATCTAAAGTTAAAATTTGGCCCCATCTCTGCTCTCTCTCTAAACTAATAGCCTAATACACTCTGAGTGGAGTTGGAAACCCTAACAGTGTCTTCGTATTTGTTTGCTGTTCTCTCAAAATTAGAAACCCTAATGGTATTTGCTCTTAAATTGGTGCTTTTTTATTCTGAAATTTTTCTAGTTTTCCCTGTGATTGATTTTACTTTGTGAAGATATGCTTGTTAGAGTGGAGTGCCTTTGAGTGTTTTGGTCTTTCATGTTTCCTTAAATATTTGAATCGTCTTTATGACTTTATACACGCTCTCTTGATAAATTATGAAATTTTGCAGCATCTCGATGGCTTTTTAGATAAGTATGCTAGAATTCATGGTAAATTTTTTTTCTAATAGATTTGTGTAATTACGATAAATATTTTAATAATTTGATGTGTCAAATTTTTTGGCCCCAGCTAAAATGAAATCTTGGCTCCGCCACTGAATTCAAATTCGAATTGTTTCTATAAGTGAAAAAAATTTAAATTAATATAGGATGAACACAAAGTGAAGAATACATGACAAAATGAAGCATTAGCAAACTTGGCAAACATAGATTATTCAAAGGTGAAAAATGAAAAAAAAAAAACCATAAAAAAAAAACGTAAGAGCTAGTTCAAATGTCAACGAAGATCGATCAGGCTAAGGCACACTGTCATGCTATTGGCCTCGAGTGCGAGTTGCCACAATCAACACGCAACTGATAAGATAGATCTCATTCTAAAACCCAACTCTGAGATTCATTCAACGCAATCGTAACCAGTTGTTGAAGAAGAAGAAGACAGGAAAAAAGGAGGGTAAGATTATCCCGCGCCACACGTCGACGTGTTGGATCTCATCGCCATCTCCAACTTGGAAGGGTTCCTCAACCCACCAACAATCACCCCCATCTTATCAATTCATGATCGACGGTCATGGATCACTCACACTTCCTTCACCAACAACACCATCACCAACGCACAAGATACGCTACTCTACAACCTCAATCTCATCATCACAACCCTAACCACCTACCTCCGCCGCCTCTTCCTCCCCCTCCTCCCCCTCCCCCTCCTCAGACACTCTCATACCGCACCATCCGCACCCCTCCTCCTCCACCCTACAACAACCCTCAACCTCATCAATCCCAACAATTCCCTTTCAACTCCTCCACCAACCACCACATCCACGCCGCCTTCTCCAATCGGATCCTCTCCGATGACATCCTCCCCCGCCGTACCCTCCCTGATTTCGACCGCCGCAAACCTGAAACCTCCTGGAACCCTAGCCCCAGGGTCGTCCCCGATGATCGGCCGCTCAGGAGTTACCCTCCCGTCGATTTCGACCGGGAATTGCATCAGCATCAGCATCAGCATCAGCATCACCGTCCTCCTCCTCAGTCGTATCCGCCGATCGACAATCTCCGGTACGATCCGGAGGGTGGGACCTCGAGGTTGAGAATTGAGCGTGTGGAAGCCTACGATGGAAACCCTAGGGTGTGGGATAGAGGAGGCGATGGAAACTATCACCGCCGCGTGCTCGACGCGGAACCTGGCGGCGGCATGGGGGCGTCCAGGGAATCGGATATTGATTTGAAATCTGGTGGTTATGTTCGTGTGTATGGTGTGGAATGTGAGGATGAAGTGGCCACAAGGGGTGGCAGAGTTGAGAGCAAGAGGTGGGTGAATGATAGGAAGGGAATTAGAGAGTTGCATGATTCTTCTTCCTTTGAAGTGGGGAATAACGAGATTGGTGCTGCATCGAAACGAGAGTATTATGGTTCAGAAACGGCTAGGTATAATTACAGAGGGAACAGCAGGGACTCTGGTCATGAATTTACTCGCACTCCGCCTAAGAAGCAGATACAGAAGAAGAGTGCTCTTCTTAGACTTCAGACGGTAAAACCCAATCATAGGAACCGCGAGATTGAACAGTTACGTTATCCTGGCTATGCTCCTGATTCTAACTCTAATTTCTTCAGGGGTAGGGAGCACCAACATGGGTATTCAGGTCATGGGATGAAAGCAGAAGAGAGAGAGGGAAGCCCTGTCGACCTTGATATCTCATTCGAATCAAATTCCCTGGTGGCCAAAGCTATTGTGGCACCTTCAAGTTCGGCCCCTGTTTCGGATTCGAATATGAATCCTGTTTCTGATACATATTTGAGTTCTGCTGAGAAGAGTAAAAAGGTTTTCGTCTCTGAACTATCTACACCTGCTGTAAATTTAAATAGTTCACCAGGGAAAGCAAGTGACACCTCTAGTTCTGTCAAGGACTTGAGCCTGCAGAAGAATGTCCCCGATGTTTCTTCTCAGCCTAGCACCAGTGTGACCCATAATCCTCATGGGAAAAATGAGGTGCTGCATTCAGTTGGAAATACCAATAGTAAATCATCCCCAAGGGTTGTCAAGAAGAAAAAAATAATTGTCAAAAAACTGGTGAAGAAAGCTGCTATAAATCCTAATTCAACTGTGTCAAATTCACTATCAGCAAATGTGGTTTGTGGAACTGTGCAAGCAGATAGTGTCATACCTAGTTCATCAACTGCCTCTGGTCCTGACAAAACTAAAGGGAAAAGCACCGCTGTTGACAAGGTGCCTGTGGCTGACTGTTTGCACTCTTCACCAAACAAAGGGAATGTATTGACTGAAGATAAAAAGGGAGATATATCCCTTAGTTTGGGGCCACATTCCAGGTCACAGGAATGTAACACTGATGAAGATTCTGATATTGGGAAAGTATCCAGGTTTGAGAGAGGTGGAAACATTTCAAATTCTCCATCTCAGGCATCTAGTAGTGAATATAAAAAGAGTGATTCTTATTGTTTAGATGCAAATAATTCTGTTCTTGACTTGCCTAGCATGCCAAATACTGACAAGGTTACTGAATCATTAAATGGAAGTACTTTTTCAGAAATCAATCACATGGATTATGATAATAAGCAATTATGTCAGATTGAAGTGTCTCTATCACCTGGGAAATATTCAAATTTAGGATGCCCACAGAATAGCAATCTTGTGGACTTAGGGGATGAAATGAATTACAGATTTTTTAGTTCAGCTGACAGTACAACTAACACAGATCTTATAAATATAAGTAATTCTGCCAATGACAGGGTTTATGGCTTCAATTCCAATGATCTTACAAGTTCAAAAGAGATATTTATTGTTACTGACAGTGGGAATAATGGCACTGTTGGTAAGGCATATAGTGAAAATATGGCATCTACAATCCCTCAGTATGCTATTCTGGAAGAAAATTCAGATACAGCCATCCCTCTGCAAAGCAGTGGAATGGCTGCTTATTCAAGTTCAGGAAAAACTAGGATTCAAGATGGTCTTGATTGCCTACAACATGCCAGTGTACTGAAGCAGGGTTCTGATAGTGGAACATCTAATTTAGAAGATAGTATCACTGTTCACCATTATGGTGTCATGAACGATGCTGGAAAGCAGGTGTCCCCCCGTGATGTCACCATTACCCCTGAGAATTGTTACACAGAAGAAACTTTCCCAAAATCCAATATTTCAGTTGGGTCTGGCGAAGGGGTTACGAATAAGATAAAAAAGAGAACAGTTAGGACTCGAATAAAAATTTTGAGTTCAAAGATGGAGGGCATATCTCCAGACTGTGTAAATCCAGTTAGCCAAGCAAATGATGTTGATAGAGGCTCAAGTCTGTTGTTGAAGGATCCATGTCCTTCGGAAGTTATAGATCAACCTGTTCAAAGCTTATATTTTAACTCACAGCCCAGTTTGGATGGGGTCAATGCTTTACATGGGAAAAGGCGGTTTTTAGAGGCTAAATTTCATGTTGGAAATAATGACTCTGATGAAGCAAATAAGGTTTCATCAGTTTCTAAAAGGAAAAAAGTCACTTCTAGTCACCCAAATTTCACTCAAAGTCAATCTGAATTCAGCGATGCTATTGTGGCTTCCACATCTAGTTCAGAAGTTCCTATCAGTTTCAGTGATAACCAAGCACATCAGAAAGAAGAAGTTGCATTGTCAAGCATGGGTATTCTGTCCACTGCTCAGTCTATGCCTTATTCAGAGGATATTGCTAAATTGTCTGACAATATATTGGCTGTAGGATCTTTTGAGTCTATGGATGTAAATAGGGAAACAACGAGTTCTGAGCATTTGGAATTGCAGCCCTCAGATATTGTCTCTTGTTCATTGTGTGAGGACTTGGCCTCTCCAAATGTTCAGCTCTCATTGGTGGAAGGTGAGCAGAAAGAAATTATTACTCCAATTGTGCCTATAAGTAATATTCAAACTGACATTATGGTGATTGGAAATATTACGGGAGAAAAGAATGATTTACAGGCTGTTGAAGAAAGTTTCCAGTATAGAGACTTTATGCAAAGGTCTCCAAGTGCTGATATGGAATCTAATGATCTTAATGTGAAGGATGATTTACTTGCTCTGCAGAACCTTATGTCGTGTCCTCCTGATGTTGATGGTGTCACTACCAGTAATTCAAATGATGAATTGATTGAGGATGTGCCTGATGCATTATCAGATATGTGTTCTCAAGGTATGCAATCTGAAGTACCTGATAGAGGGATTTTAGAATTTACAGCAATCCATGATGAAAACATTTGTGGGGATGAAGAAAATCTGGATGAGATATCTATGAGCTCTGACTTACATACGTCATCAATACAGCATCCTAGAAAAGTTATGAAGTCAGATCATGCAATTGGATGTAGTGACCCAATCGTGAGGAAGATAATGCCACAACCATCCCAAGTTTACTCCAAAGTTACAGCTAAGGGTCTAAATTCACATTATTCAGAATTAAATATGAGCAAAAATCAGCCTGGTGGTGTCATTCCTAAAACTTTCCAGGGTCATTCTTTCACCTTTTCAAAGTCAAAGACAAAGACATCTGCCTCCTCAACCCAAATATCTATACCTCGAACTTGGCATCGTACATGGAATAATTCTCCTGCTTCTCTACCTGGAATCAAGCCTTCGGTAGGTACAGTTCCTCCCAAAAGGCCAATTCTAGAAGGGAAAGGGAACTTTCAGAATACTTCTTACGTTCGTAAAGGTCACAGTCTCGTAAGGAAACCTACTCAAGTTTCTGCTTTACCTCAAATCTCCTCTGCTAATCAGTCACCTTCCTTGGGCTTAGGTCAAATCCCAAAGAGCACCAGATCTAAAAACAGGGCTGATATGACAGATCAACCAATCTACTTGAAAACAGAAGTAACAAATGTGCCTCTCGAGAGGCAGAGAACACCTCCACTATCCGTTGACACCAAACCAGAGGAAAATATATCTTCCCCATTGGTAGAACCTCCTTCCAGTGGTTGCTGTGAAAATGCATCAGAACCTAGGAAATTTGTGGAAACTAAAGATGCACTGAATCATTATGAAACTCCTGAAAATCAATCTGGTCCATCTAATAATGGGGAAAGCGAAGTTGAAGCGAATGATGGGAATATTTCTTCTTTGAACACCAAGAGAATAGTATATGTAAAGCCCAAAACAAATCAATTGGTTGCAACCTCAAATTCTTGTGATGTTTCTGTCTCTACTGATGACAAGGGCCAAACAGCTTTCTCCGATGGCTACTACAAGAGGAGCAAAAATCAATTGGTTAGGACTACATTTGAAAGTCATATCAACCAGACAGTTGCAATGCCCAATAGTAATGTAAATTCTGATGGGCAAGGGGCTAGTAAGGTTCTTTGCAACAGGAGGTTTAGTAAGAGGCGGTCACATAAGGGTATGCATGAATAACTTACTATGTTGCCTTATAATAAGAATCTAATGCTGAGTTTCATCAGGATTGGACAGGATGTAACTTATAGTGGATGTCTTCTTTGTGCTTGTGACTCCAGTAGATATATCCAGTTGAATACTGTGGTTTATTTGTTAAGAACTGCAGTAAATTGCTTGATGCCCTTGCCTGTCTATTAGTTGCTACTTGCTAGACATAGTTATACTGTATTTGTCTCGTGTTGATATTTATATCTTATATTCTTGTTTAGAATCGCATGTTCTTTCAAATATCAGCTTTGCAAATTGCTAGTCAATGTTTCTTGAGCCTTTCTTATATGGCTTCCTTTTTTGTTTTCTTCATTAATTTTTTGTGAATAATAGTTTGTATGCGTGTTTTGAGCTGATAGTGGAGTGATTTTGCTAATGTTGCATGCCATTCTCATCCACTGTGTTTTAACTCCCCATTGGCTGAGGAATCTGCAACCACTAGTGCTGTTCCATTTATTAGTTCCTTGTCACCTTATTAGTAGCTAGAGAAAGACTTAACTGTAGAAATCATTTGCAGTTGCTGGAAGTTCATGTAAACCTTCAAGAGCCTCATTAGTCTGGACCCTTCGTGGCAAAAATTCATCCAAAAATGACAGGGACTCATGGCATTATCAGAAGGTTTTACCTCACTTGTTTCCATGGAAAAGAGCAATATATTTAAGGAGCTTCATTCATAGTTCTGCTTCAAGCTTCAATAGTAGTTCCTTATCTTCAATCAGGTACTTGAGCATTTGTTACTGCGTCCTTTATTTTTACTCCCTCCTCATTTGGCTATGTGCCTCAGCAATATTCAATTGCAATAGACAATTAATGTTCGTCTTTCAGCAAGAAATTGCTTCTGCTGAGAAAGAGGGATACTGTTTACACTAGATCGACCCATGGGTTCTCTCTTTGGAAATCCAAGGTATTAGGTGTTGGTGGGTCTAGTTTAAAATGGTCCAAATCCATTGAGAAGCACTCAAAGCAAGCTAATGAGGTTAGTCAGGCTTTTTGATACTCTGGCACTTTACCATTAAGTTTCTTTGAAGTTAGGTATATTTTATTTCAAGTAAAATAGATCTTTCTTAGCTATATTTCTAACAATTTCTCATGATCATTTTAGGAAGCTACACTTGCCGTTGCTGCAGTAGAGAGGAAGAAGAGAGAGCAGAAAGATGCAGTTTGCATCAGTTCTCAGGCAAAGAGTAGGAAGCATTCTTTCCATGAGTATATCATAATGCTATAGATTATCTTTGTTTTTGTGCTATTAAAACTTATTTATGCTCCATATTTCAATTATCTTTGTCTGTTACTCTGACTTTAAAAGTAGCGATTGTGTAGGAGAACGAATATTTCGTATTGGTTCAGTTCGCTACAGAATGGATCCTTCCAGGCGGACACTTCAAAGGATTTCAGGTGGTCAACAGTTTTATATAAAGCATTTTAGTTGGATTTTTTTCTACATTTTGTAGTATTTTATGATTACCAAAATGTATGTGTGCTTCTGGGACATTAGACACATTTTGACGTATTTCAGATATTTACCATAAGCAACATTTGATTTTAAGAGTATTTTTCAGGTTAGATGACAAATTTGTAATTTATATGTATTGATGTCATGTGTCAACTATCAACTTGATGATTGTTAAACCTTTTATGATTAACATTGTCCTTTGGTAATGATGGCATCTCCAATCGCTTAAGGACAATTGTGTAAGTTATGATGTGATATTAGGTCACGCTGAACATATTTTCCCTTAGTTTAGATGTTTACCATATGTGAAGCTTGATATTAGAGTCATGTTAAGGTTAGATTATAAATTTGTAATTGATTTGTCTGGATACTATTTATTTTGGTGATTGTTGAACCTTTGAATGATTAACAATGTCATTTAGAAATGATGGCATCTTGATTGATTTCGTACGATCATTAAGGTGCATATTAAGATAGAAAAGACAATAGGGGATTGGAGACCCAAGGCAGCAAGGATGAGGTGAATAGGGGTCAGGTTTGTAATTTAGGATTTAACTACCTTGCACATGTTGCAGGTGGGTAGGAAGGCAAGGGAGGGAATCAGGTAAAATATAAGGGGAGACTGAGAAAGAGAGGGGGATGACAGAACTGAATAGGAAGAGTGGCATTTGGGAGAAAGATAGCCCCTCAAAGAGCTAGCATAGTTGCTATTTTTCTGTCTCACTGCAATTTTCTTTGCTGATTTCTGTAATTCTGGGTTTCAATCCGAGTTTCTGTTATTGAGAAGAGGTTTCTATCACATTGGCTGTCGCTTAAGAACAAACGTTTAAGGGATGATGGTTTTCAAGCTTTTCCCCCCTAGTTCAATGAAGAAATATTGTTGATGGGTGAATGAAGTACAGAAACAAAGGATTAGAAATCCTCGTTACTACAAATAACAAAACCACATCAGCTGTGCAATGCTTGTCAGTTGTCAGTTCCTTTGCATGTCAAACAAGGAGTTCACTTTGAAATAGCTATTAGTTGAGCACTGTAAAGATGCTAAGAAAATCAGTTTCTCTCGAACGAGAGGCAGCGGCAATATTTGTCACTCCCTTCTATTCTTGAGCATCAAATTAGAAATTACGGGTTACGTTGCACACATCCAAAGGGCTTTACCTATTTACCATAGATGTTGCAACCAGACCAGACTGATTGGTTGGATTGGGGAAAATGGAAACTGGTCCTAAACTGGTTTACTCGTTCGAATTTGTCACGGTTCAAACAACCAGTCCATTATTTTAGATTTTTTTTAAACTTTTTTCACTACACTAGTTATTTGGTTCCCAATTTATAGCCAAAACTCAACATTTCTCTTCTTAATTTGTCCAATTTGTGACAATAGGAGTTTGTAATGCAACAAGAGTTGGCTACTATTATAACTAGAAGTTTTACCTCTCCTTCTTTTACTTATTCAATGTGGAACTAATATATGTTAGAAAATCATGCTAGTATTAGTATACTACTTTTATCTTAATACTTATCATTGTGATAAATCAATTTAATTATGGGTTTGGTGTTTGTCCTTTTAAAGGACATAGAATTGTGTTCTTTTAAGTAAAGAGAAAGAAATACAATGGAAATTACGGGGGGAGAAAGTGTGTGGTTTTTTAAATTTAAATTTTAAATAAAGAACACTAGTTTTAACTAAAAATATATTTTTCCTTGAATTATACTATAAATATATTTCTATATTTTATCTTGGTTTTATTTATACACTTAACATATGTATATTATATTTTTCTTACATATTGTTATATATTTGTGTAATATATATGTATATATATTAAGAGAGCGAGCCTTGGAGCAACAGTAAGATTACTCCTTTGTAATTAGAGTCACAAGTTCGACTCTAGGATACAGCTTCTTTTGCGAAAATGCAAGGGTAAGACTGCATATAATCAACCTTCCCTCTTCCCTCCCACAATTGGGGAGCCTTGTGCATTGTGGTTTGTCCTTATATATATATATATATATATATATAATCCCAGTTTATCCTTGGTTGAATCTCAAAACCTTAAACCTTTCTTTTTATCGACTTAGTGGCCATTCCAGTTCTGAATACATTCCTATTTCCTCCTCTAAAGGTTTCTGAGTGTATTAGTTGAATATTTGCCTCCAGAGATGATGTAAAGAACGCTCAATTATGGGTTTTTTGGATTAATGTATGTGTATATGATGCTTAAGATGCAGGAAAATGCAAATGTATCATTCTTGGAACATTCTCGATTTCTCCTTATGGCTGATTTTGAAAGCAATACTCCATAGCAATAGTCTGGGTTATAGGGTTGATTGTCTGTTTGGACAAGAAGTCTGTCGTCAAATTATGAAATCATTAAGCTCCTCTCTTTGTTGCCATGCTGAGAATACTTCAGAAATATGGCCTTTTTGTTGTTCCATTTCTTTTTTGCTTGCCCTTTTTCTTTGTTTTTTTATTGGTAGATAATGCTTGTCCTTTTTCTATCATTGTTGAACTTGGAATGTTGCTATCTTTCTCCCAAAAAGCTAACAGATTCTATCACTGTTGATCTGACAAAGTTTCTCTTAATTCTTCTTGTAGACGATGAATCCATGTCCTCTGCCTCTATCTGTTCAGGTTTGGCTGCCAAAAGAGCTTACATTCCGAGGAGATTAGTGATTGGAAATGATGAGTATGTGCATTGTTCTTATTCATTGGTTTTTATATCTTCTATGATAATGTTAAATTTCATTGGTGTTGGTTGTCTAGTTTAACAAGCAGCTAAGAAGAAAGTAGGTGAATAAGAGGGAGAAGATTGTATAATATTGAGTCTTGCAGTTTTATTAATCCTTATACGCTCGAGTATTCAAATAATTGCCATCGACATTTGCAGATATGTCCGAATTGGCAATGGTAACCAGCTTATTAGGGACCCGAAGAAACGAACTAGAAAATTGGCTAATGAAAAAGTTAGATGGAGCTTGCACACAGCCAGACAGCGGTTGGCTCGAAAGCAGAAGTATTGTCAGTTTTTTACTAGATTTGGGAAGTGTAACAAGGATGGAGGGAAGTGTCCTTATATTCACGATCCCTCTAAAATTGCTGTCTGTACTAAGTTCCTGAATGGTTTATGCTCTACTCCCAACTGCAAATTGACTCATAAGGTTTTGTAATATATTGAGTCAGAGGAATTGGATGTGGTCCATTGCATTTATTGATCTGTCTAAAGTCTGAGGTTAATTGATTTGTTGTGCAGGTTATTCCAGAGAGAATGCCCGACTGTTCTTATTTTTTACAAGGTGCATTTTAGAAATTTTTGTCTTTCATCAAGTGAATGATATTGAAATATGATTCTGACAAGTTTCATGGCAGGCTTATGCAGTAACAGAAATTGTCCATACAGACACGTCAATGTGAACCCTAAAGCATCTATTTGTGAAGGATTTCTTAAGGGTTATTGTGCAGATGGGAATGAGGTATTAACCTATCATGTTTAATTTCCTATGAAGTTACTGGATAATTTGAATATTGAACTTTTCCCTCTTTTTACCACAATTAAGTACATAAATTTGTGTGCATATGTATGTTCTTTATATTTATATATTTCAAGGGCAGGGTGTACTGTCTGATGATTCATTGTAGTTATGGTGATTGTAGGTTTATGAGAGGTTAATCCGGACTTTCATCAAATTGAGTTTGATAACTTAGGAATGACTTGTCAGTTTCAGCCTATAGCCCTTTTCCTTGGTTGTTTGATCGCTAATTCTGATGATTTTCTGTAATATTGCTTAGAGTATTTAGTTATTTGTTAAATTATAATCCCTTGTATGGGAGTTTTTTCTTCTTGCGAAAAGTTTTGCTTTGTTCAGGAACTATCCTCCTCATTTACACGCTTCCATCTCGTGATCCTTCGCTCATGCTCACTAACTTATGTGGTCTCACAGTGTCGGAAGAAGCACAGCTATGTCTGTCCTAGTTTTGAAGCAACAGGAACCTGTACTCATGGAACGCAATGCAAGCTTCATCATCCCAAAAAACAAAGCAAGGGAAAGAAAAGAAAGAGATCTGGAGATCAGAACAGCAGTAGAGGGCGTTACTTTGGTTCTATCCCTGTTGATGTTTCTGAACCTCGGATGATGATGGCTCTAATGCAAATTCAACATAATGATGACCTTGAAGGAGAACTTTCCGACTACATCAGCCTCGATGTTAATGAAGAAGTTGCAGACACTGCTGATCAATCATTCGAGCAAGCAACATTGTGTGACAATGATTCCTTGGATTCACAGTTGGATAATTGGGATGATCTTATTAAACCAGTTCTTATAATGAAAACAAAATTCACGCCGCAACAATCTTAGTCCACCAGCCTGCAAGCTTGGGCAAGTGACGAAGACTTTTTAGACAGTTATAAATTAGGTAAATTTAGGTGATGCAGTCTTTTTCTTTTCTTTTCTTTTTTCTTTTTTTTTTTCTCTTTTTCTACCTCATTGATTTTGAATGTTTATCGTCATTGTACACAAGTCATCTTCCCCCTCCCCTTTATTTTTATTTGTTCACCATTGTACAATAACATCTGATATATAGAGAAAAATTTACCTGCTCCCACAAGGGCAGTAGAGTTACTTAGAACCCAGCAATTTGGAATGCCGTCTTATCGTTGAGAGAAGTCAAAGTTCGGCCACGTAATTAACTTTCGAAAAAGAAGCGTAAGCCTCTTTTCCGTTTGCATTATCGTGCGTATGAGGGTATGCAAAGTAAGACTCGACATAATTATAAAATGAACTTCAATCTTGTCCATGAATTATCTGTACGCAAACTACATTGCCCATTCAAGTTTGTTATACTCTTGCTTCCAAATCTTAGATATAGCAAGATTCCAAATTTACATTTTTTGCAAAATCTCCAAACATGATTTGTCAAGCCAAGGCCGAAATATTCCATCGTGGGTCAAATTCTGCACAAATGGGAAGAGAAAGTACATCAAGAGCTGATAAGTTACTTTCAAAGGGAAATTTGTAGCAAAGGAAAGGAAGCAATGCTTCCGTATGCATCTGTGGAGCAAACATGATAAACAGGTATACTAAAAAAAATGGAAGAATTTGAGCAGCTGAATAATTCATTTTAAGAACTTCCTTTGCACACAGGATTAAAACAATTACAACCAGAAAGGACTCTAAAATTGAAACCATAAGAACCCATCACCTCCAGGTAAACATCACCAACTAAAGTAAGTTGGTTCACTCTCATCTCAATCACTCCAGTTGAAAAGCTAAATAATAGTTTATCGACGTACTGCTTCAAGAGGCAATAAATTGTTTGTACACAACAATGATCTAAAACAGGAAATTATTTGAACATGTATATATTGACTTACTTGCAACCAGAAAAGAAATCCACGCAAGAGAAACAAAACCCTATGTGGTTCCTTGAATTTGGCAATTGCTTTTCCTAAATCTGCACAGTTATGAAACAAATATTTGATAAAGAGAACTGGCATCAGATTAAGTATAGACAGGGTTATGCAAGAACAGGAATAGAAGCGCTTGAAAGTCCAAAAGTAGCAGAAGCAACCTAACAACTTGCACAAACAACAGATTTTCGGAAATACAATCAGCAAAATCTAACACCAAATATACCGACGATTACAAATCAGTACCAGTCAGTCACACGGTCAGTCACAGAATGAGTCCACTCTAAGGCTAAAAGGTATCATGGTATAATATAACTTGACCAACGACAAATTGAAGGTTCCTATACTGATATATAATGAACTCAATAATAATTAAATTCACTAGTTCATGAGAAAATAAAATTTATTCTTAAGTTCTAAATTACTCTCATCATTCATGTTGTTTTGGTAATTACACTTAACCTCCTCCAATATTAAAATTCCGGCTTTTAAAAGATACCCCTGTTTATATTTTCAGCAGACACAAACAACCATGTCTGTACAATGAAAATACACATATAACGGGGTAGCTGTAGATTTTAAGACAAGGGATGGAGAATATAACTTGCTCTTGAACTCACATAATTCAACTTAAGTTTTGGTTGGTCCATCCAGAATATCAAGTAAGAGTTGTTTAACACTACAGTCTACAGGTAATGAATGAATCACAACCACTGAATCTTGACTGCATAGTTAGGATTAAACTTCATGTTACCATTTTTATATATGAAAAAGGAATATGTGTAAAGTCAGAATGCTTGAGAAAATAGTGGACCTACCAGGGTACAACTGAAGATATGATTTGTTGACACCATCAGTGCAATATGATTTAACCACGCCCTGACGAGTTTCTACATGACGTTCTTTTTGCCTTTGTCGACGTACTTCATTCAGAATAACCACACATTCTTCTTGGTCATAAGGCCTTTCAAGATATTCCATTAGTCTTTTCCTAAACTGAGAATTATCATAAGCAGAGAATTTCCTGCTGTCTCTGGGGTTCATTTCACTTTCGAACCACTAAACACACCAAGATATATTATGAAGAAAAGTTAAAAAATAATTGTTTCAAAATTGCCTATTAATGTTCATTTGTGTGGACTTTATTGCACATTATGACTGATAAAGTTCCACTGGGTGAAGTTAAAAATACTTACCGATGAATCATATGTTTTTGAAGAAATGAATGGAGTGTTTTCACAAATTTGATCAGGTTCTAGAAGAATTAGATCTGGGTCAGAGGAATTACTACCACCTTCCATCTTGCATGTCGTTGTGATATTCCTGTCAGGCATATAAACCAAATCGCCATCAACAATCCTAGCAGAATTCAGGATTAGTTGGTAATCTTCATCAACGTCACACTCCAATTTGGGAGTATCAAATGCCTGATCAGAAACTTGTGAATTTTGCCTAACATTTGAACTCTTTCCTATTAATTCACTATCCATATAGACCAAACTATCATCATCTGTCCTACAAGAATTCAGGAATAATTGGTAGTCTTCATCCACATCATCAAACTGCACATCCCTGCGGCAATTGATATTGGGAACACTAGATACATCTTGATGTGGCCTTCTATTACAAGGTCCTCTTTCAGTCTCCAAACTTTGCTGAGATTCCATTGAGCCACCTGTCTGTTCTCTCATTGAATCACTCCTGGTATTTGCTAGATTTCGAGTCTTATCCTTCCGTGGCAAACCGTTTAACATCTTAGTGTCTACCTTGAGATCATTACACAATCTTTCTTCTTCTTCTTCTTCACCCTCATACCTTATATGAACAAGCTGGTTTTCCACAAAGCATGAGTAAACATAGGAATTCCCTTCTTCCCTCAAATTTTCCAAGAACATCTTATACTGAGGATCTGAATCATCATCAATGTCACTGTTGTTGCCAGTTTTGATGTCAACAGCAGGACCATCGACATTATTATCATTGGCAACATCAATATGAGAAAAATATGTATCCAAAAATATTTTGTAATCTTCATCTACTTCATCAATGGGCATATTTCCGCAACTCTTCAAAGCTGTCCTTGTAGTATTGGCACAGCGATTGTGCTTTAAACTGTCAATTAAAATGACCTCCCTTCTCTTCCATCGCCTTTCTGCTCTTCTTCTTTTAACCTCAGAATCAGGACCTTTCCAATTCTCTCTTATATGAGAATCACCAGGGTTAATCTTGATTGAAGCAAGCCTCATTTTCTCTTAGTGAGAACAATGTCCTTCTTCCTTTGAAACAGGAAGGCTCACTGTAAATACCAAAAAAACAAAAAAGAAAAAGAAAACAGTCCCTTTATTATGGCAGAAATTGACATAATGAGGAAAATGATTACTGTGGAAAATACTTATCTAGAAATTGTGGTTTGGGCTACTAATGGAAAACATTTTGTTTATTGCATTATTGGAAACAAAATGTAATCAAAACGACAGATACAGTAATAGCAACTTAATTAAATGCAACAATAGGCATTTAAGCTCACTTAAATACAATAACAATATGATGAACATTTTGGAAGCGGGGGTTTCTTAAATCAACAACCAGACTAACACAAATATAGTGTTCCAAAGCCAGAATAGATGAGATGCACAACTAAAAACATTCAGCAGTAACAATCATACCCATTCTGCACATTTTATCTTCAACATAAAGAACAAGGTAATAAGCTGCAAACAGTTGGATGAGTAGCATAACACATCAAACGAGGCAATCATGATAAAATGAACGAAAGAATCAACTAAATAGCACATCCCTGTGAGCCACCGTAATTGATGGCAAAATTGAGAATTTCTCCCCTAGACAAACTTGATATTCATTGAATATCAAAAAATCCCACTCAAGATAACCCAACCTGGAATGACCCAGATGGATGGTGTGTTCCAATTTACCCACATAAGAAGTCCCATTCCATCAGGCCAATTGAAAGTTCAATTTCCTATAAAAAAATCACCATATTCCAAAGACCCATCATCATAATTATAACACATGTGATTCCCATTACCCTGAAAAAAGACCCATTCCTTCATTCTTCAAAATCATGGTTTGTTTCCTATTCCTATCTTACCCACTGATAACTAGACCCAGTGCAGTGCTGCATGCACCCCTCCACTCTCACATTCCCCCTTCACATACGCTCCCACAAAAAATAAAGAAATTAATTAATAAACATTCGACCAATGAACGCAGATATTATAATAAAACATGACAACTATATATGAAATAATAACACTGTACAAGAATATTGTGAAGAAAATAAAATAAAAGCAAGAAGGGGTTACCTAGTGGAGAAAATTGGTAATGCGAATTCGAGAAAGAAAGAAAATGGAATAGGAGAGCGACCGTAACGGACAAGTTCAGAGTAGTGAACTGAAAGTGAAGACACAACAACACCACGGATAACTCTTTCTCTTTCTAACGGACATACGTTATGTTGCGCTGATATAATCTTTGATGGAATGCATCGTATTATTTAACATAACTACGGAGAGAAAATAAATATTGGAATAAATAATTATAAAATTATTATTATTGATTCAGTTAGGATTCTTTCACGTGAGATCGTCATGTTAAATAAATATATTCCCACTCTTTGAGATTTGTACGTGCATCAGAGTTAAATATTTATTAAATGTTGTTTTGATAATAAATATTTAACATTTTATCAAATATTACTGGTGATTTCTTATTTAATAAGAACCATTTAAAAATGTTAAAATATTAAAATAAGGTCACGATTATTTATGTAATTTATAATTTCAATTTTTTATCATTAATCTTATTATATTTAACAGTTTTAATTCTTAAATTATATGAGTCATTCAATATTAATGATAAAAAAATTAAAATAATATCTTATATTCTTTGATCGGAGGAATTCATGTTACCCTTACTTAATAACTAGTTATTTGCGAGCCATGTTCGTATACAAATCGAAAAGTGAGACTCACGGGTGCATGTTTTTTTTTGTGAATAGGGTAATTGCACAATATAAATTGCTTTTAGATTAATATTTCTCCGGCCTTCACTCCAAAGGGTTTCTAAGGCATTCAATTTTAAAATCTTCTTAATAAGTATATTAAAAAATTTAAATAACATTTAATATATTTTCTTAAATATTTATAATTACTTAAATATAAAATAAATAATTTAAAATTTATTACAATTTAGATTTTCTTGTGTTCTTTTCATCACGTTTCCTTTTATATTACAAATAAAAGACACAAAAACAATTTTAATTGATGTTACATAACTAGAGGTTTACTCTCAAATTTCATATAATATTCTTTTCTAAAGAGATTTCACACTCAAACTTCTTTTCAAACGATTCTCACAAGAGTCACTGAGCTAAGATAACTCTTCAAAACAGATTTACATTTCTTTATATAGGAGAGTGAAAAACTTGTCCTCTATCTAGAATATTCTCTATTACTAAGGTAGGTAGCATTTATGGAGATAGTTATTGAGACATTGAGTCATACACCAATAAATATGGTGTATGCTTAGCCATCAAACATTAATGGAGGAATACACCCAACAAGGAAGTGTTGTAAAACCCGGCCCGACTCGGCCGGGTCGACCCGAAACTTGGTGACTCGGCCATCAGACCGGTTCGAGTCAAGCATTGGACCGGTCATGCATTGGCCCGGTCAAAACCCGTACAAAATCGGTCAAACCCGGTGACCCGGTAACTCAGTGACCCAGTCGGGTCATCCATTTTTTTTTAAAAAAAAAACCAAAATTGTTTTTGTCAAAAAAAATGTAGAACTCATTTTAATTTTTTTTTTGTAATCTTATTTGCTATTATACTATTCTACAATAACATCAAATTTCAGCTTCCAATACTGAAGCAATTTGTGGAATAATAAATTAAGAGATTGTGACATATGTCATTTTTAATGTAGTTGAATTTGAAAAATATGAGTTCAATGTCATTGAGAGGTATGTTTAGGAGGATTTTGAGTTCCAATTTAAATTGACATAGTAATAACATGCTTTTTTATTTATTTATGCTTCATATTTTTTAGCTTATTTAATGAATCTTGTTTAATTCATTTTAGATATGAAGAATATAATTGAATTTATATGTTCATAATTATATATTTTTATAATCTATATATATCCTGGTCAACCGGTCCGACCGGTGACCCGATGACCCAGTACCCCGACCGGGTCGATGTCCGGGCCGGGTTTAATAACACTGCAACAAGGTATACTGATGTGACCCCTTTTTGTTTTTATATAAATTTTTATGTATTTTATTTTTAATGAAATGTTTTTAACATTAGGTCTCAATCATTATTTTCAAAATTTTGACCGAGCATTGAATTGGTCAACGTATTACTTCACGGTTTTTTGACCCAGTACCCCTAATTAAAATAAATATTATTATTATATCCTCATTTTTAAACTATTTAAAAAATCTGATATTTTTCTTAAACATAACACCCATATGTTTTTATTTGACCATTGACTAATTAATGTAATTGATTAACTTTTGTGGGAATGAAATAATTGATTACCAATTACTTGTAATCAATTAAAGGGGAGAACTCCTTGACCTCTATTTCACTTGCTGTCTCTTTTTTTTTCTCGCACACACTATTCTAATGAAACACACAATACAAATATATACATAGAAAACTACCGACTTTGATGGCCAGCATTTCTAAGAGGGAAGAAAACGCACATACGCCAAGATTTATCGCTTTTATGAACCAATAGAATGAGGGAAGAAAAAGAACTCTGACTTGGTCGTATAAACCCAGACGATAGCAACCTAGAGACTTGTTGCCCAATCTCAGCTTTCTGCAAATGTGCATAACGATAAGGACGAACATTAATTGGTTTTACTTCATTTACAAAATGAATAACGTGATCGATTCCACTAAAAGGAGGAAGACCTTGAGGCAGCCCAAAAATAGTTTGAAACTCACAAAGAATCTACCAAAGCTCTGGAGGAATATTCGATCTTATGGCTTCTAATTCAGATAGAAGTGCATCAGCTACAACATCTAAACCCTGCGAAGAAAGATGAAAAAAATTGCTCTCCCCATTAGACAGAGAGGTTTATGATGAGTGTCTATTACCTATTAGCGTAATTGATGAACCTTTCCAGATGAACTCCATAGTCAAAGCATTATAGTTGTGTGTCACATGACCTAACTCACCCAGCCACTGCATTTCTAGAATCACACCTTCAATCTTCAAGTTCAATACCCACAAATCGAAAACAAACACATGATCTTGGAGGTTGAGCGAAACACTAGGGTACTTATGCTCACAGATGAGGAACTCACCATTGCCCAAGAACACCCTCATGCGCTTGATACGAACTGGAGAAAGACCCAGCTTAGAAACAAGGTTAGAGTGCACGAAATTATGCGTGCTACCTGAGTCTACAAGGACTGGAACCACCTTAGAAGTCACCCGTGTAGTGAAACACAATGTTATTGGATTCATGTCTCCCAAAAGGGAGTGTAACGCCGCATCTTGCACCTCTTGAACCTTGGGATCGCATTCCATAATATTTCCTCAGTTGGATCCTCTTCATCAGACTCAGCTATTAGAACCAACATTTTCTCTTGCACCTATGACGAGATGCCCATTTCTCATTACAAGTATAATATAAACCCAACTTCATTTTCTATTGCACTTCCTCTGGGGACAATTTCTTGATTGGCAATGAGGAAGAAGCAATGGATACTTGTGAAGAAGGAGGATTTGTAACGCTACCGGATGAGAAGAGGGTGGCATGACCAACATTATTTGCCGCAGGGACTACCCCACTTGAAGAACCCTAGGAGAAGGAGAATCTTGTAGAGAACTTTCTAGTCGTTGATTAGAGTGAAACCTTCACTTTCGAATG